AGGGCCTCATCTCAGGTGCTGTGGCATTTTTTTTTTCATAAGGCCATCCTGTCTGCATACAACAGTCTGTAGTATTTTGTCTTCTTTTGTAGCTGCTCTGATTCTACTGAGGCTGTCACTGGAAATGGGCAAGTGATTCACCATATTAACAGACTCTATTTCAGCCTCTACAGGTGAGCATTCTGGGAGATATGCTCTGCTCAATGTGTCTGCCAGTAACATATCTTTTCCTGGGACATATATTGCATTGAGATCATATTTCTGCTTTCGCAGCATGATTCTTTGAAGTCTTTTTGAAGCGATTAACAGTGGTTTCCTTACTATGGACTCTAACGGCTTGTGGTCCGATTGTACAGTAACTTTGCGACCATATTTGTACTGATGAAACTTTTCAACACTGAAAACCATAGCTAGAAACTTTCTCTATTTGGGCATATTCACGCTCGGTTTGTGTGGGAGCTCGGCTAGAAAAAGCGATTGGTTTGCCTTTTTGGAGGAGTGCTGCCCCCAAACCTGTGTCTGATGCATCACATTGCACTTCTAGGTCCTTCTCTGGACAGTAGCATTTGAGAACAGGAGCATTTGTTATAGTCCTTTTTAGTTTTTCAAAAGCACGCTCATGCTGCTCTGTTCAGTCCCATTCTGTGTCTGTGTGTTAACCGCCTAACACTTGACACTAATCTGAAAGGTGTGGGCAAAACTTGGCTAAATAGTTCACCATACCTAACAGTCTCTGAACTGCTTTCACATCTGTTGGCCTTGGCATTTGTTCAATGGCTCGGACCTTGTCTGGGTCAACTTTTGCTGTGAGACGGTGCCCTATGTACATGCACTCTGTCTCAGTTTGAACTTCTCAGGATTCAGCTTAATGTTCTGGTCTTTGCATCGTTCCAAAACGTCCCCAACTTTGTGTTGTGATCTCGTACAGCAGCCTCCTAGCTCTCACCTTGACCTGTGATGAGTACGTCATCTGCTACGATGTAGATACTCGGGAGTCCATCCAGCGCTTGGGTCAGTTTCCTTTGGAAAATCTCAGGTGTTACACTAACCCCCATGGGCTTTTTGAACCATCTGAAGCGCCCAAATGGAGTAGAGAAAGTAGTGAGATAGCTTGACTCCTCTGCCAGCTTCACATGCCAAAATCCACATCACACACTGTGAACATGTACGGGAGTACATCATCTATCCATTTTCTTCCCCTTAATCCATTTCTGGGTCGGGGGGGGGGTGGCAGTCAGAGCTGCACCCAGTACACTCAGCACCAGCCCCTCACTGATCCTCCTGCAGGTGGTGAGTCCACAGGAGCTGAGATCTTTCAGTGGGGGCTTCAGGCAAAGTGGGGTTAAGTGTCTTGCCCAAGGCAACGACACAACGACAGCAGTCATCAGCGGGAGTCATGAATTAGGTCTTACGGTGGGCTCAAACCCACGACCTTCAGGGGGTTCAATCCACTGGCAATGATTTACAGTACCTCAAAAAGGGACCCCATTTGCGTTCAAAATTTTCTTTGTATCCTCTTGTGAGATTAATCTTTTCCATTTTAAGGAATGACAGAACGTCACGAAACCACTGGGATAATACAGGTGCTTTAGAAGATTTCCATAGTAGTAAAATGTTACGCCTAGCAATAAGTGAGGTAAAGGCTAAGATTTTGGAGTGACTGGGATCAGTTAGAACTGAATTTACTGGAACACCAAAACAGGTTAAGTATGGATTCAAATCAACTTTAGTTTTAAGAGCTTTAGAAAGAATTTCCGAGTATTGGTTCCAGAAATTACGGAGCATTGGACATGAGAAGAACATATGGCTCAGATCACATGGGCTTGCATGACATCTTTCACATTGATCTATTATTTGTGGATACATTTTGGACAAGCGTGATTTTGAGTAATGCACTCTATACAGTATTTTAAATTGAATAAGTTGTAACCTGGCCGAGGGTGTGCTAGAGCGGACTATCGCTGTTGCCTTCTCCCATTGCTGGTCTGAGATGGTAATTCCCAGTTCATGTTCCCAACCCCAAGACATCCTAACCTTTGCTGTTGAAAATATGTCTGTGTCCATAATTCGCTTATATATTACAGATATGATCGACTTAGTATTGGGTTTGAGAGATAACAATTCCTCCCAGGATTGAGTACTTGGAAGAGAAGGATAAGATGGAAACAGGGAAGATACACAATTTCGTTTTTGAAAGTAACGAAATAAGTCAGTGGCAGGAAGTCCATTCTCAGAAGACAAGTCAGAGAAACTTAAGAAGGTGCCTGCTTTAAAAAGATCCCTAATGGTTTTGATGCCACAGTTTCTCCATCTCAAGTAGGTAGCATCTGCAAGACCAGGCTGAAATAGAGGATTTTTTACAATGGGCATTAAATGGGATGCGGACACGAACTTAAAATGGTTTCTGTATTGAGACCATATTTTAAGTTTGGACTGTACTATTGGGTTTTTTGTGAAACGAATGGGATTAATTGGAAGTGGAGAAGACACAAGAGCCTCCAATGATGACAGAGTACATGACTGGGATTCCAGCCTACACCATGGCAGTTCACTTGAGTGCAGCCAGTATATCAATTTATGGACGTGGGCCGACCAATAATAATATAAAAAATTAGGCAACGCAAGTCCTCCACTAAATGTAAATTTCTGTAAAAGTTGTTTCCTCACCCTGGGGTTCTTCCCCTCCCAAAGAAATGAAGTAATAAGTCCGTCAAGAGTTTTAAAAAAAATCTCAGGGAGAAAAATAGGAATACATTGAAAGAGAAAAAGGAACCGTGGCAAAATATTCATTTTAACTGTATTAATACGTCCTATAAGTGAAAGGGGGAGAGAGCTCCATCGTTGGAAGTCTATTTTAATTTGCTTAAGTAATGGAGTAATTTTCTGCATATAAAGAGGTCAAAGTGCGAGTAATCTTAATTCCTAAATATTTAAATCCTGAGGGGCTAAGTTTGAATGGAATATCTGTCTGCCGGAGAGTAAGGGCTAAAGAATTTACCGGATAACATTCGCTTTTAAGAATATTTATTTTATATCCTGAAAATGAACCAAATTCATTCAATAATGAAGTGATATGTGGAATACTTGTTGTGGGGTCAGAGACATATAAAAGCAAGTCGTCTGCATACAGTGACAGTTTTAAATAAATACTGATAATGCTGTTTCAACCACAGTTGAACCTGATGAAATCTCACACAACAAAGAGACAAAGTTAATCTTTTACTTGTTACATTGTACAAGGAGAATGTCTTGACAGAGGCAAGGCACAGACCCCAGCCTCTCTCAGGACAAGTCTGAAGATTCACAGATGGCAAGCCCCTTTTGGTAGAGCAAGACACACCTTCGTATGCAGATGGGAAAGGAAGAAACCAACACAACAAAAGAACAGTGAGACATTAGCATCCTCAAAACCTGCTTCCTCCTGGCATCTGCATACAACCCCCAAGCACTCTGAAGTCAACAGTGGATTACAATACAGACAGTATAGAATTCAGCCACAAATGATTTAGCAAAATGATAACTAAGTTACATTCCAATACGGTAGAAACGGTATCGTTTGTATAGACACTAGCTTGGGGTGAATTGTATAATAATCGGATCCATGAAATAAAGCGCCTTCCAAATCCAAATTTATGTAGAACAGCAAGGAGATATGCCCATTCTACGCGGTCAAACGCTTTCTCTGCGTCTATTGAAATTACTACTTCTGGACTGGTGGTGGAGTGATTTGAAGTTACAACGTTTAGCAGTGTACGTACATTGTAAAACAATTGGCGACCTTTAATGAAACCGTTCTGTTCCTCACTAATGACTGAAGGAAGAACCGTTTCTAATCAACCCGCTAAAACTTTAGCAAGGATCTTGACATCAACATTAAGAAGTGATATAGGTCTATATGAGGAACAGGATGTAGGATCTTTATCCTTCTTTAAAAGGACAATAATAATAGCTTGAGAGAGTGTAGGGGGTAACTTGCCCTGGTCTAATGATTCATTATATACAGAAAGCAACAATGGAGCTAATTTATCTGCAAATGCTTTAAAGAATTCTGCCGAGAACCCGTCCGGACCGGGTGCCTTGCAATTATGCATAGTTCTAATGGCTTGTAGGATCTCCTCCAAACGAAGGGGGGCATCCAAATGTTCAGCCAGAGCTGGATCAACGGTGGGTGTGGTAATATTATTAAGAAAAGACGACAAAATCAGAGGCATAATATATATATATATATATATATATATATATATATATATATATTATATATATATATATATATATATATATATATATAATATATATATATATATATATATATTATATATATATATATATATATATAATATATATATATATATATATATATATATATATAATATATATATATATATATATATATATATAAATATATTATATATATATATAATATATTATATATATATATATATATATATATATATATATATATATATATATATATTATATATATATATATATATATATATATATATATATATATATATATATATATATATATGTATATTATATATATATTATATATATATATATATTATATATATATATATATATATATATATTATATATATATATATATATATATATATATATATATATATATATATAAATATATATATAATATATATATTAATATATATATATATATACACATATATATATATATGTGTATATATATATGTGTGTGTGTATATATGTATGTATGTGTGTATATATGTATGTATGTGTGTATATATGTATGTATGTGTGTATGTATGTATGTATGTGTGTATATATGTATGTGTGTATATGTATGTATGTGTGTATATGTATGTATGTGTGTGTGTGTGTTTATATATATATATATATATACACATATATATACACATATATATATATATATATATATATATATATATACACATACATATATATATAATATATATACATATATATATATTATATAATTACATACATACTCACTCACTCACTCACTCGGAGACCCCTATAATGCGAATATTGTTCCTACGCGATCGTGATTCCAAGTCCTCGCATTTGTTCTCCAACTTGACAATTTCTTTAGCCATGTTTTCCACCTGGGAGCGAAGAATGGTGATGTCATCTGTGCACGCGGAAAGCGACTGTTCCATGTCCACAATAGTGCCCCTTAGCCCCGCAAACTCTTGCTTCATCGTAGTAATGTTAGACGAAATTTCTGCCTTGAAATGAAGCAATTCCGACTTAATCGACGTAAGGTTTTCCCCAAGAGCTGCATGTAGTTCGGACTTAAACATAGTCTTGATTTCCTCACGAAGAGCAGAAAGTATATCCGTCTTGATGGTGTTAGCATCAGATTCGGCTAGTGGCTCGCCAAGTGCAGGCCACGGCCCTGATGGTCCACTCGGGGGCGGGGATGCGGAGGTAGCACCAGGCCGCGGTGTTAGCAGAGGGGCGCTTGCGCTCTTACTACCTTTAGGCATTGTTGAAATCGTACACAAAGTTAGCGAGCAGACGATTGTAGATTAGAGTACTAGGTCCCACTATAAAAAGTTACAAAAACGTGCCAAAAGTAATGGATAATTACAAAACTGCAGGAGCTGCGCGTCACACGTGTTGTTACATGGTCCGCTAAGCAGGAAGTCCAACTTACTTACTATTGTCGCTAATGGGAAGTGACTACGCTTGAGCGCCTTGTTTAAGGGTTTTAGATCAATGCACACTCTGATTTTGTACTACCACAATGCTGCTGATCCAATCAGTGCTACAGTTGACTTTAAACTCTTAACTGGTTAAGAGTTAAGAGTTTAACGCTCATGCCTTCTGGACGTCGTTTTTATGTACCCTCTCGGAAAACAAATCGTTTCGCCAACTCTTTTGTCCCCTCTGTCACTAAACTGTTGAATTCTGAAGGGAGTGTGTTTATTAAGTGACACCGACCTTTGTGAAATGTGTCGTTTTCTTTTAATTATTTGCTATTGTCTGTACTGTTGGAAGTGACACACAGTGAGTGTTGTGATGTGTTTGTACAACATCTGTCGGAGGTTGCAGCAAATCAATTGCCCTTAAGGGATCAATAAAGTTTTCTGAATCTGAATCTGGTACAGTGTTTGGTTTCTGGGATTTCTCAGTTTCACTTTACATTTACCCAGTAGCTTCACCTTGCTACCATTATACATCATTAGCATAGTGTTCGTCACATCCAGTTTTGTATCACTGTTCAACAGGTTAACAGGTAACATGTGAGGGTTCGTTTAAAAATGATGGGAATAATGATGGCTCAGTCGGAAAAATGAATTGTGGTGACTTTATTTTCACACCAAACCAGTGCAGAGTGGAAAATATTTACAGTGCAGAAAAAAAAAAACAACAGACTCACAAAAACAGACAGGACTTACAGCCAGCTCAGTTTGGGTTCAATTTCAGTACAGCTCACTCCAGCTCACTCACAGACTGACAGAAAAACCTCCGGAGTGAGCACGCACTCTTTTAAAGGACAACTCACCCTCAAATCCACTTTTTTTTGCTGATAAACGGTATAAATGAGTGTCCAATAGTGTTGTCTACATATCCTGGTCATAATTTTGTCACTTTGGTGAAAATTAGTTGAAAGTTAAACTTTCTGCCTAAAACCGTCTGTGAGGCGCCATCTGCTGGCGACCTGTATTACTACATTTGAATTTTGAATCTGGCGCCAACACTGGCACAGAAGTTGGACCTGACGTCTGCAAGTTGGACCTGACGTCACAGCCCCCCGCCCAGAGCAATGTAAACGGCCCAGTCTCGTTCACGCCCCCTTTAGTCCTCCAGGCTACGCCCATTTAGAGGAAGATTTGAACAGGAAATGTGAGTGACGTAAGCTCCGAGGAGCGGGGGTGAGAACCACTTTAACTAGTTAGCCCCGCCCCTGGGCTAACCCATTAATAAATTAACAGGGGTTTTTCTTCTAAACAGAAAAACAACGAAATCCCACACATAGTTCCCTCCCTGTTCCTCAGTGCGAACATGCCTCTCCATTGCCCCATATAGCAATGCACAAATAGAAAAAAAACACATTTTAATACTTTAAGAAATTAGAGTCCTCTGGCCCGTCACATGCGCGCGCCCTGCGCTATATATGGTGCGACCAGGAAGTGCCTCGGTTTGGCCAGTGGACCGAGACAAGCAGCAGGTGAGTTGTGTATGGGAGATGAGATGTGTGTAGTGTAGGCAGCAAGTGTGCACCCTTGTGCGCTACAGGGATAGTATTGGCAGGGGAAGAGTTTGTGTTGATGCAGGGCCGTGCGGTTACTAGCGCGGACCTGCCGGCATGCCGCGCCACACGCACGCAGACGCGCTCCTCTCTTCAGCGCAGGGAGAGAGAGCACCACACAGTTTATGACGGAGCAGTCAATGGCGCTCCGTCACATTATCCCCCTCCTCCTCGAGGTTGACGATGTGCGGCAACCTGGACAGGTAGTCTGCCACGACATTGGTCTTCTCAGCTCGATGGCGGATCTGGAACTGGAACGGCGGGAGGGAGAGGTACCAGCGGGTGAGACGACTGTTATGGTCCTTCATGGAATTCATCCAAGTCAGCGCCCGGTGGTCCGTCTCGAGGTTGAACTCTCTTCCCAGCAGGTAGTACCGCAGGCTCTCCAGAGCCCACTTGATGGCCAGGCCCTCCTTCTCCACGGTAGAGTACCTGGTCTCTCGCGGCAGCAGCTTCCGGCTCAGGTACCGTACAGGACGTTCTTCTCCAGGGTCCCCTTGAGCCAGGACCGCTCCTAGTCCCACGGCAGAAGCGTCAGTCTGGACCAGGAACCGCTGTTCGAAGTCGGGGCTCCGCAGCACCGGCGATGAGCAGAGGCAGGACTTGAGGGCCTGGAAGGCTGTCTCGCAGTCCTCGTTCCAGACGACCGGGTTCCTCTGGTCCTTCATCGTCAGCGCGGTCAGTGGAGCTGCGATGGTGGCGAACTGTGGGACGAACCGACGATACCAGCCGGCCAAGCCCAAGAAGGACCTCACCTCCTTCTTTGTGCGAGGGCGTGGACAGCTGCGGATGGCCTCTACTTTGTCCATCTGTGGTCGGACTTCTCCTCGCCCCAGCCGGTAGCCGAGATACTTAGCCTCTTCTTTGGCCCACTGACACTTTGACGGGTTAAGTGTCAGTCCCGCCCGCTCTATCTGGCCGAGGACTCTCTCCAGATGACGCAGCTGCTGTGCTGCGGTGTCTTGTTCAGTTGTTTTCCAGGGTTGGGGTCCCGGACGAGATTGTGACGGACCAGGGGACCAACTTCACCTCCCGCCTGATGCAGCTCTTCCACCGCCAGCTGGGAATCTCTGCGATCAAGACCACCCCGTACCACCCACAGACGGACGGTTTGGTCGAGAGGTTCAACCAGACGCTGAAGAGGATGCTGCAGAAATTTGTGGCCGATACCGGACGGGACTGGGACCAGTGGCTACCCTACCTACTCTTCGCCTACCGAGAGGCACCCCAAGCCTCCACCGGTTTCTCCCCGTTCGAGCTGCTCTATGGATGGGATGTCCAGGGTCCGCTAGACCTGCTACTGAAGGCCTGGGAGGCTCCCGCCTCGACCACCAGCGATCGCCATATTGTCCAGTTTGTGTTGGAGATGCGTGATCGGCTGGCCAAGTATCGGGAGGAGGCGGAGGTCAACCTACGCGCTGCCCAGCGGTCCCAGAAGGCGTGGTACGACGACTGAAATTGAACCCAAACTGAGCTGGCTGTAAGTCCTGTCTGTTTTTGTGAGTCTGTTGTTTTTTTTTTTCTGCACTGTAAATATTTCCCACTTCTGACACCAAATGTGAGGGTTCGTTTAAAAATTATGGGAATAATGATGGCTCAGTCGGTAAAAAGGAATTGTGGTGACTTTATTTTCACACCAAACCAGTGCAGAGTGGAAAATATTTACAGTGCAGAAAAAAAAAACAACAGACTCACAAAATTGGCAGGGGAAGAGTTTGTGTTGATGCAGGGCCGTGCGGTTACTAGCGCGGACCTGCCGGCATGCCGCGCCACACGCACGCAGACGCGCTCCTCTCTTCAGCGCAGGGAGAGAGAGCACCACACAGTTTATGACGGAGCAGTCAATGGCGCTCCGTCACATTATCCCCCTCCTCCTCGAGGTTGACGATGTGCGGCAACCTGGACAGGTAGTCTGCCACGACATTGGTCTTCCCAGCTCGATGGCGGATCTGGAACTGGAACGGCGGGAGGGAGAGGTACCAGCGGGTGAGACGACTGTTATGGTCCTTCATGGAATTCATCCAAGTCAGCGCCCGGTGGTCCGTCTCGAGGTCGAACTCTCTTCCCAGCAGGTAGTACCGCAGGCTCTCCAGAGCCCACTTGATGGCCAGGCCCTCCTTCTCCACGGTAGAGTACCTGGTCTCTCGCGGCAGCAGCTTCCGGCTCAGGTACCGTACAGGACGTTCTTCTCCAGGGTCCCCTTGAGCCAGGACCGCTCCTAGTCCCACGGCAGAAGCGTCAGTCTGGACCAGGAACCGCTGTTCGAAGTCGGGGCTCCGCAGCACCGGCGATGAGCAGAGGCAGGACTTGAGGGCCTGGAAGGCTGTCTCGCAGTCCTCGTTCCAGACGACCGGGTTCCTCTGGTCCTTCATCGTCAGCGCGGTCAGTGGAGCTGCGATGGTGGCGAACTGTGGGACGAACCGACGATACCAGCCGGCCAAGCCCAAGAAGGACCTCACCTCCTTCTTTGTGCGAGGGCGTGGACAGCTGCGGATGGCCTCTACTTTGTCCATCTGTGGTCGGACTTCTCCTCGCCCCAGCCGGTAGCCGAGATACTTAGCCTCTTCTTTGGCCCACTGACACTTTGACGGGTTAAGTGTCAGTCCCGCCCGCTCTATCTGGCCGAGGACTCTCTCCAGATGACGCAGCTGCTGTGCTGCGGTGTCTTGTTCAGTTGTTTTCCAGGGTTGGGGTCCCGGACGAGATTGTGACGGACCAGGGGACCAACTTCACCTCCCGCCTGATGCAGCTCTTCCACCGCCAGCTGGGAATCTCTGCGATCAAGACCACCCCGTACCACCCACAGACGGACGGTTTGGTCGAGAGGTTCAACCAGACGCTGAAGAGGATGCTGCAGAAATTCGTGGCCGATACCGGACGGGACTGGGACCAGTGGCTACCCTACCTACTCTTCGCCTACCGAGAGGCACCCCAAGCCTCCACCGGTTTCTCCCCGTTCGAGCTGCTCTATGGATGGGATGTCCAGGGTCCGCTAGACCTGCTACTGAAGGCCTGGGAGGCTCCCGCCTCGACCACCAGCGATCGCCATATTGTCCAGTTTGTGTTGGAGATGCGTGATCGGCTGGCCAAGTATCGTTGTGTATGGGAGATGAGATGTGTGTAGTGTAGGCAGCAAGTGTGCACCCTTGTGCGCTACAGGGATAGTATTGGCAGGGGAAGAGTTTGTGTTGATGCAAGGCCGTGCGGTTACTAGCGCGGACCTGCCGGCATGCCGCGCCACACGCACGCAGACGCGCTCCTCTCTTCAGCGCAGGGAGAGAGAGCACCACACAGTTTATGACGGAGCAGTCAATGGCGCTCCGTCACATAACACATTACATGTACAGTAGCTTCACAATCAATCTGAAATCTTACATCTTTGTCTAAGAGCGTGCCTGCAAACAGTTTAGTGTCTTTTTCTTTGTCAGAGTCTGTCATATTCACATTTTCACCCTGTGTCACTTCTCTAATACACAGAATATCCTCATACTCACTTTCACATTCTGTTACATTGTGCACAGATTTTTTCTTCTTAAAGTCTGTGCGTGCTTTACACATTGCTGCAAAGTGGTTATCTTTACTACACTTTTTACACTTCTTGTCAAATGCTGGACATTTCTGTTTATACCTCCTTGTGAGTCCTGCCGCAGAACTTGCACTCCACCGTGTTGTCGTTGTCCGGCTTCCACTGGTGTTTCCACAGGGAGTTTCTCAAAGCACCAAAATTACTCGTTTTGGTGAGTAGTTTGAGTTCTGTGATATAGCCCTCAATGGATTCACTGGAGCCTTGATTTCTAGTGAAGAATTTATACCTCTCAACAGTTTAATTCACTGTTGGGCTGCAAAGTTGATCAAACTTATCGATCATGTCCTTCACAATCCAGTCAGCCTCCGCTGTGTCTCCCTTTAACGTATCCAGCAGCTTCCTGCCGCTTTCACAGACTAGATAACTGAAGAACTTCACTCGCTTATTCTCGTCATATTCGGCAACTGTTAAATCAACATCAAGTTGAATCTTGTCTCTTCATGTCATCCATGTTTTAGACAACTTGTGAGAGTCCAGACACGACGTCTGTGGAGCTTTTAGTCCTTCCATGCTACTAGCTAGTCTTGTGAAGCTAATCACTGCTCAACAGTTTCTACTTTACTGTCTCCTCCAGTGCCTCCGCAGCAATTTCAAAAATATCTCAAAAAATCCGGGCAAAGTTCATTACCGCTGCCACCATGTTAAAGTGTGGGTTTGTAACAGTTGCTCTGGCGTAACTGGGTCAGCATTTATTGAAGTACCACATTCAAGTGTACAGTCATTGTAGTACAAACTCTGGTTAAAAACTTACGTGCCTGCCCCCTCGTGGCGTATATGGTATATAAACAATATATACAATATGGTATATAAACAATATACCATATTGTAACAGTAACTATCATACTAGCGGTATGTTGTTGGAGTATACATACGGCGCATGAGAAGCGCTCTGTAAAAAAATAATTGCACGCACCAAAAACCACGATAGGTGAACCGTGTAAGACTGTTAAATTACAGCGAGTATGACAAGATGTGACAAATCGTGAACATGAATAAATGAGTCATCAGCATGGATCTATAGGCTAATACTAGAGTTTCACAAAAACATGTGTTTGTCCTAAACTCTGAAGTGCTTCGTTTCACACTATAATTTAGAAGGATTTAATAAAACGCTGAAACACAAGGGAGAGGGGAACAGCACCTACAAACCTGAGGCAATGCATGTGCTCGACCAAAGACCGGTCCTGGGTTAAGAGAGGGAGCAGCATCTGCTCTACGTCCCCTCCCTCACCTCTGGTCATGAGCTTTGGGTAATCCACTAAAGGACGAGATCACGGACATTAGCAGTCGCACAGGAGGAGCCCCAAGTAGGACCTCTAGTGGGAGCTCAGTCACATGGGAGGAGCTTGGAGTAGAGCCCCTCCTCCTTCAGAGACAGGGTTAGGAGCTCAGTCACAGTAGAGTAGCTCAGAGGCTGTATATAGGAGGATGCGGCAACAGAAAAATGTTGGATATCGCATTGGCTTTTTGTTTACAGGGGGGTGAAAACGTAAGCGTTGAGAAACAACCTCCAGAGTGAAACCGAACAGATATGATGCGCGGCGGGGGATGTTTCACAGCCGTGTGAAGATAACTTAATTCTACTCCTTCGTCCATCCAAAGAGACAGAGATAATAGAGAGGACAGAGACACAGAGAGGAATCTGTGTAAATTCCCTCCTGAGGAATCGTCTCTGACAGACCACTTCTTCATTTGTCTTTGTCCCAATTACGTCAGTTTCAGTTTTTATATCAGAACAGTTTCACTTGAGCTCATCAGAGACTCAATGCTGTGTTTAACTGAGATTACATCATTTTCTCTCTGACTGACACAAAGAGGATCCACACATCTTCTCTCTGAAAAATACAACACAGTGATGTTATTCAGGGGAAACAACAACAACATTGTGGTTAAAGCTGGATGCCTCCATGTTGCAGTCCTATATTTGCCTTTGTCGTCTGAGCAAATGGAGTATGAACAGGTCCTGGTCTCAGCATGGACCCTCCCAGTCTGCATAAACAGCCAACTCTTAAACTCGCATGCAGATATGTCTCTGACCAGCAGATATCGAAGAAGACATATTACGCATTACACACCCACGCGCACATACCTCCCTCGCCTCTGTGTGGTGGAGATTCAGACTAGTTTCTCCAGTTCAGAGGAATGACCCTGAAGCAAAGTCTCCAGTTTCCTGTGTTTAACCATTTCATTTTACTGCAACATCTGGTGTGTCTGAAACTTCTGCAACATCTCAAACCATCACAGAGAGGGACAGAAAGAAGCAGGACAAGGTCATCAGGAAGTCCTGCTCTGTCCTGGGCTGTCCCCTGGACACAATGCAGCAGGGACAAACCAACATCCATGGTGAACCATGACTGTCCCTGCTGGAACAATCTGCCTGCTCAGGAGAACAGTTTCAGTGACAGACTTATCCTCCCTTGCTGTGTAAAGGACAAGTTCCACAGGTTTCCTGCTTTCCTCTCTGCTACTGTCAGACTGTACAATGAGAACTGCTGAGCCTGTACGTGTCATCTGATCAGTGAATAAGAAATACTGCAATGATGTGCAACAATACAGCAATTTCAGAATGTCCACTGAATCTCTTTATCTACTTTACACATATAGGCTGGATACATTTATAAAAAATCAGTAAGAGTCACTGATGTACATGTACTCCTCTTGAGTCAGTTCTTTCGGCGTTTTTTTTTTTGACTCAAACTCAAATGCTGATGGAGTGTTCAATATTTTTTAAATAATCCTGGTTTCCAATGTTCCCATATCGCCCAGCCCTGAAATGGGCTTATTTTAAAATGGCCCTTAGTCAGAGCCGTCTCAGCTGGGTCTGCAGTTTCTTGCCCTTGCCTCACTGACCTCACTGACCTCACATGACCTCCACAGATGAACACAGCAGCTTCTCTCACAATCCTCCTCCAGTCCACACTCTGTTTTCGCACCATTCACGCCAACAATACAAGGGCTTTACCACAACTCCAGAAAATACACAATAAGAGTGATGCAGCACTGGTCTCATCCGTCTCAGAGAGAGACCAGAGAGAGGGAGCGACCAGACATTCTGAGGACAGAACTCATTCCAACTCTGACGTGACTGATTGATTAAAAAGTGTTTCACCAGTCCAGGTCCGACCCGACCCGTGTGACCCAGTTTTGAACAGAAATAACAGAGCGAGAGATGTCACGCAGACTAGAGAGAATACTCAGACAATAGCTGATACTGTATGTGCTGACAAAGATGAGGGACTTTGTAAAATTCTGCATGAAACCAAAACAGAAATGATCTTTAAACTAAGTCTAGACTCTGACTTTAGAAAATAAAACACTAGTTCTCACATTTGTGTTCTTGAATTTATGAAATGTTGTGAGCGATTCCATTTTAGAATTCTTTATTACTTCCTGTACATTTTAAACAATGAATCCAGTAAAACCACTGCCAGTGTAACACTTCAACACCGTCACAAGCTCCTTGAAGCTGACCCAGGACTTACGAGCTCACTGGAGCTGACCCAGACCTTACTAGCTCCGTGGAGCTAACCCAGGCCTCTGTGGAACTGACTCAGGCCTCACGAGCTCCATGGAGCAGACCCAGGCCATGCATGAAAGTGGGCCATGGATATAAGTGTGCTTGGCTGTGGCTGCAGGGGCCACCATCAGCCAATAACCACCACATGTGACAAACAAATGGATTTATCGGAAACAGGACCTGGTTTAGTCCCGAGCTTCACATGGACTGGGGTTTGCATGTTCTGCATGTCAAGCACAATGTGCCTCATTCACAAACTGTTAAGAAAAAAATAGGTTCTTAAGTCCTTCTTACAAGGATTTTACAAAGATTGTGATATTCATGAATTTCTCTTATCCAGGATTTCTCTTAGGTAAGAACAAATTCTACGAACAAGGTACACTGTGTAGTTTTATTTTGCAGTTCAGGGTAGTACGGAAGCCTTCGAAAGACGATATTTCTTCTCTTGACAGTGCTCCTCAACTCTCAGTCAGAATCAGAATTATTTATATTGCCACGTAAGTAACAGGAAGTCAGACTTCAAGTAAAAAGTAGAGAAGGCACAATAAAAATAAAATTAAAAATAAAATAAAAAATCAACACTTCTAAGGAATAACATTTAAAATAGAATCATTACAATTTCTATATACAATATGCTAGTGCACATGGTGCACACAATATAAGGTGACAGCACTGAAGTATAGTGACGTTATGATGGGCCGTAAGGTGACTTCTAAAGGGCGGGGGACGGGTTATTAAGTGTTAAAGAGTCCAACTGCAGAGGGGAAGAAACTGTTCTTATGGCGGGAGGTTTTGGTCCTGATGGACCGTAGTCTCCTGCCTGAGGGGAGTGATTGGAATAGTCCATGTGCAGAGTTAGAGGGGTCGGCGATGATACGAGGGGTCGACTGTGGTACAGGTCCTGCAACGATGGGAGGCTGCGGGCTTCTCTGCAGCGCGCACGATGCGCTGTAGTCTCTGCTTGTCCCTGACTGTGGCTCCAGCAAACCACACGGTGATGGAGGAGGTGAGAATGGACTCTGATGGCCTTGTAGAACTGCACCAACTTTTGTGCAGGCAGCTTGGCTTTCCTGAGCTGCCACAGGAAGCACTTCCTCAGCTGGGCCTTCTTGATGAGGGATCTGATGGTCGGCTCCCACTTGAGGTCCTGGGTGATGGTGGTGCCCAGGAAACAAAATTACTCCACAGAGGTTGTAGGAGCCATATCTATTGGTTCATGGGTATGGTTGCTATGGCAACGTGTCAGGAATCCGTGCATTAAAGTCTATTCATACTGCTTGTGTCTGGACATCAAGGAATAAATGCTCGGATGCAACAGGAGTCCATGCGCGCGCTCTCTGATCTTTACGCGCAGCACGCTCTGATTGACGGCTTCAATTGTGGATTAAATAATGCGCTGCTCTGGAGTTTCATTGTGAAAAGTGATTAAGCCGATATGTTGAAATGAAATGATTCCATAATCATTGTTACACGTGTTTGCTTGAGTTTATTGTGACGTGTATTGAATAAAGAACTTGAAAATATATATTTGAACAAACAAAATGTGTGACACGGGTGGTGCGGCCTCGCGGCCTGAAATGGAGTCTCAGAAACGTGAGATCAAACTCACTGAAAAGGCTTTGGCGTACAAGGTGGAAAAACTTAAAAATGAGCGCAAAGGTTTTGTCAATAAAATTAAAGGGTTGATACCTGAAATAAAAGGTTTGATGAATCAAAAGGAAAATGTTTCTCAAATAAAGGATGACATGGAAAACCTGAGCAAACTATTTTTCTGCCAATGCTGCACAAAGTGAATTGTTGCCATTAATTCCACAAGAAGAGGTTATGAAACAAAAGGAGTGGTTTGAAAGCATCACAAAATACACTGAGACATTTCAAAATGAAGTGAAACAATGGATTTACAGCACTGAACAAAACTCAACGGAGTACAAATCCAAACCAAAGGAAAACTTAAATGAAATGAGAAATATGCCCTCAGTGTCAAATGAAAATGAACAAATGAATGGAAATGAACAAGAGTCAACTCAAAGCAACGAATGTATGGATTTTGAAACAAATGTGCTAAAAATGACCACAAAATGTGTGACTGAGGATGACATTGAGCCAAGTGACAGTGCTTCAAATACTGGAAGTAACAAAAGTGCGCAATCTTGCATATCTACAGCTTCATCTGCACGTCTGAAAGCTGAGGCCGATCTGGCTGCTCTGGCTGCAAGACAACGCTCACTAAATGAAAGGCATGCAATTGAAGAGGAGGAAGAACGGCTGCGCAAAAGAAAAGAAAAGTTACAACTGGAAACTGAAATAGCTGAAAAAATGGCTAAACTGGACATTTTCAAGAGACGAAGCACAACAAGTGGAAGTAGAACTTCAAAAATCTCAGATGGAATGAACTCTTATTTGAACAAATCAAAGATGCCATTGAATGTGAATGTGGAGTTCATGCCTGCACCAAAACTAAATGCAACAATGAACATGAATCAAAAGACTTCAATTAAAAACACAGAAACAACAACAATAAGTACCAAAGCCCCAGAACGCACAACACATGGACATTGTTTTTTGGATTCAGATATGGAAATGAATGCATCGAATATGGAAAATAAAAATGATATTCTTGGAATAATGAAAAGGCAAAATGACATCACAACTTTATTACTTCAACAACAATGTCTTGCAACGTTACCCAAAAGAGAAATCCCCATATTTGATGGCAATCCACTAAAATACCACACGTTTATAAAGGCATTCGAAAATGGAGTTGAGAGGAATACTTCTAATAATTCTGATCGTTTGTACTTCCTAGAACAGTACACAAAAGGACATGCTAAAGAACTGGTCAAAAGTTGTCAATACAATAATCCAGAGCATGGTTACATAAAAGCTTGGAGCCATGTGTAGGAGCCAAAATGTACCTTTCCCTAGCCACAGGGTGCCGCTGTGGGCGTTATGTGACCTGAGCCCATTCTCCTATAAAAAGGGCAGAATTAGAGGGCACAGGTGCTGCTAGGTTTGGAGGTATACTGTTTCTTACCGTGTCAATTACTGTGGAATGTATTATGTTATTTGGATTAATGGTCATAGGGGCCAATAAAGAAACCTCTAATACACTATTTGGACTGAGGTTTGTGGAGACACGCGTTTGGGAAACCCTTAAAATCTTAGCAGCCAAGAGGCGATCTACAGGCAACATCTTTGCCTCTACATTAAGTAAGAAACAACCTCAGGTTCCCAACAAGTGGGGCCTCGACTGTTGCTGTAGCCTAGGACAGCACTGTGCGGGGTTACTGAAGGATCTGGAGTAACGCGCGCACGTGCAGTGGAGGGCCCGGCTGGACCACACGCAGCGGATCGTGATCAGGAGTGGAAGGACGCCAGTGACAGCGGTGTTTGGAACGGGGGCAGTTGGAGCTTCAAGACGGGAGCGCGCGCCGCCGTGCGCGTTATTGGAGGAGCGCATCAAAGAGGTTCGTGGATGTAGAGCCACGCGTGTATACAAGAACTGAATGAGATTTGCTATGATCTGACTATGAATGGACATGCAAATATGAACCCTAATAACGATGTGTGTGGACTGAGACGCGCTGACAAAAGACGCAGCGGAAAATCTTCTGCTTACATAAAGGCAGAGGCTGAGCGAGCGGCTCTGCTGGTCAAAGCGTCTTTTATGAAACAAAAACATGAGATTGAAGAACAACAGAGACTAGTCAAACAGCAGCTTGAAATGCTTGAAATTTAAACTCAAATTGCTGCTGCTAATGCGGAGTTGGACGTCCTAAAATCTGCAAAAAAGTTTACATCACAATGTGTGATGTCGTCTCGCGCAGCTGTGTCACCGCCACGCCAATCAACGATGAAGCCAGAGTCTCCGTGCTTCCAAACAGGGGCCGGGGTACGTGATTGGACACTTCCGAAATGTGTTGATCGTATGATGGAGCTTAAATCAGATTCAGATCCTATCAAAGAACTGTTTGAATCTTTGATATGGTCTCCACCTTGCCTTGTTCCTGATTTTCATGCAGTCACAGCTGAAGCAAAAGAGACTGAAAACTATGAGCGTGTGGATGAGGTGAGAGACTGCACACCTCTAGCTCTGGCACCACCAGGGGGCTCTCAAAGTTGTCCACCAAAAGACACTAGCACAAAGGAGGCTACTGGCGTCCTGGTCACTATTGGAGAGTATGTGACTGTGGCAATTGAGAGGTCAAGACTCAATGTAAAGGTTCAAAAATGTAGTGTACAAACTAAAATCTTACGCGAGCCGAGCGCTAATTTGTTTGAACAAAATTTTGTAAAAATGAACACGTGTGGAATGTGGAAAAGGCCATTTTTGTTGTGCATGTGAAACCCATGAAAATGTTCAAACGTAAAAGATGGAAATTGTGTATTTGTATTCGGTATTGATTTGGACTATTGGTAACGGAATAGGATTACGGAACTTTGTTAATACATAAATATCCCATATTGTAACTTCTACTTAAGATGTGTACATGATAACTTACTCTATTTTGGCTCCTTCTATTTGTATTGTAATTGTTTGTACTCCTGCACACACAATTAAGGGGCCGGTGTGTAGGAGCCAAAATGTACCTTTCCCTAGCCACAGGGTGCCGCTGTGGGCGTTATGTGACCTGAGCCCATTCTCCTATAAAAAGGGCAGAATTAGAGGGCACAGGTGCTGCTAGGTTTGGAGGTATACTGTTTCTTACCGTGTCAATTACTGTGGAATGTATTATGTTATTTGGACTAATGGTCATAGGGGCCAATAATGAAACCTCTAATACACTATTTGGACTGAGGTTTGTGGAGACACGCGTTTGGGAAACCCTTAAAATCTTAGCAGCCAAGAGGCGATCTACAGGCAACATCTTCGCCTCTACAGAGGTGATGGGGGAGTCCATCAGGGAGGGCCGGGGCGGCCAAGGAAAGAATCATTTCGTTTGATAAATGTTTAGTTGAAACTTGTGACAGTAGTTGGACTGTGATTGGAGCGAGTCAGAACATCCTTAGACTGTTGCAGATTCTGCCTCGTATTCATTATTGTCAATGTAAAAAAGTTACGTATTGTTCACATGTGAGTCTGTTGTGTACAAACTACACGATGTGCCTCCTCTTGTTTTAACTCTGTCTTTCGGTGCGTGTGGTTTGCGATGTTGACAGTTTGCTGTATGACGTCGGAATTTTTTATAATTATTTTAAAAGATTGTTGTTCGGGTCATTCTTCTACATAACTGTGGTCCTCCATGGTTCCTTCTTCAAACTTCAACTTCAAACGATATCAGTAGCAGTAGAAACGAAAACGCGATTCTCGCATCCTTTTTGTTCCTTATCCACCACTGTATTTCAAGATGGCGCATTGACATGGAGAGCACTATGCTCTCATGGACATTTGTAAGTTGAATTCTAAGCCTATGAAAATAATTACAAAAACATGGTGGTGGTATTCTTAAAAAGGTCACATTTATTAGTTAACTAATGTTAACTAATGAGCCACTAGCTCTACCAACTGAGCCACTAGGGCAACATTGGCTCAGTTGGTAGAGCATCGGCCCTTGAGCCTGAAGGTCGTGGGTTCGAGCCCACCATAAGACCTACTTCACAACTCCCACTGATGACTGCTGTCGTTGTGTCCTTGACACTTAACCCCACTTTGCCTGAAGCCCCCGCTGAAAGATCTCAGCTCCTGTGGACTCACCACCTGCAAGAGGATCAGTGAGGGGCTTGTGCTCTGTGTACTGAGTGCAGCTCTGACTGCCACCCCCCCCTGACCCAGAAATGAATTAAGGGGAAGAAAGTGGATGGATGGATGTTTTTTTTTTTTTTTTTTGTATAGAGCAACTGTAAAAATGACACATTTTAGTGTTGACATGAACTTTTGTGAAGTTCAGTAAAACACATTAGTGATATATATGTCATATTGATGTATTTATTCATTACATTTTTTTTTGGTAATTTAGCCTATATTTTATTTATTTTAAATTAATTGTGCCAACGCAATGGTAAGAATAGTAGTTTCTGTTGTCATTATGATTGTAATTGAAAAATGGAAAATACTTTATTCAGTGGATGATATTTTTGGTGTAATATGGCGTGTTTGTGTGTGCACATGTGTGTTTCTCTGATCAGTGTTCCATCTGTGTTTCAGATCATGGGGAAAGGCTGCCTAACCGCCACCAAGTATTTCCTGTTCCTCTTCAACCTCATCTTTTTTGTGAGTGTTTTATCTGCACGATATCTCGCACACACACACACACACACACAGAGAGATAGGGAGACAGACACACACACCATTTTCAGAGAATATCAGAAAAACAGTTTTAAAATGCCCCAAATCTATAATGATGTGAAGCAGATGTGTGCCTTCTCAGTTGTTTTGGCTAATTTCCACTACTAATAGGGATGCTCATGGTGAAGTTTGGCTTGAACTTGCTCTGGCTCCTATTGACTTGCGATCAACAGGTAAATTGAGAGCTTTGTCTCAGATTTGGAGATGCTGATTCTTGTCCCAGCTGTTCCACACTCAGTCTTGGCTCGTGAACAGGTCTGCATTGCAATGCATTATGAGTCTTTTAAGCCGTATGTGTGTATCTCTCTCATCTTCCTTTCCTTTTTTGCCATTCTTTCCTCTCCTTCTCCTATCTTTCCATCGCTCCTCTCTTCTTTCCTCTCATCCCTCCTCTCTCATCTTCTCTTTCCTGTCTCTTCTCCCATCTCCACTCTCCTCGGAGGTCTTTGTGAAGCAGTATGCATGTTCCTTCCGCGGCTGCTTTCTCTTTGTTTTCTGTTTTCCTGTATTTTCCTTGAATCCAGTATTTTTTTAATCCGGAGGATGAGCACAGTGACCTACTTCACACGTCTCAGAGCTGACACCAGATCAGATTAAAGAAGCTATACCCGATTTTTTTTCTAAGTAGTTCATAAAAATGCTTTTTACTACATACAAGTTGTATCATAATACATAATTTAATTGAAAACTTGAGGTCATTGATTCAGCTGTGTATGAAATTTATACCGTGAAAAGTGCTGAGTGGAGTCTTAGCGGGACGCTCGTTCTCCTCCACTCACAGAACGAGCAGCGAACAGCCTGCGTCCTCTAGCCTCTACAGCGCTGCTTAACACCAGGGCTTTGACTTCAGAATTTGAATATAATTCTAAAATAAAAAAAAAATATATATATATATTCGAACAAATATTAGACAGCCCTTATAATTCAAAATGTATTTAATGACTGCAAATAAAATAGTTAGCTCCCAAAGGTTTCACTGGGACGTGCTAGGCAGGTAACAGCTAAGCTAGCTAGCTGTTTCATGGTAGTTCCGGGTTTTTCGCAATCGCTTTTTGTCACTTTAAAACTGTATTTTTGTCATGAAAACGTTGACAGCAAATTCTGAAATTGTCCATGCATGTGTGTTAAGGATGTATATGTATACTGTATTGTCCGATTAACATTTAATGGTGTTGATTGATTGATATGTGTTTGTTTATTGAGCGTGGCTAGCTCCGCTAGCTTCTCTTGTTGTACTTGCGGAGTAATGGCAGTATTTTACACACCTGAATTACAAACAGAGATTGCATTGTCAAAGGGCAGCGTTCATTATTGATATGAGAGTTCTGTTATCAAGAAAACATGATCGGTAGAATTACATTCAAGTCAATGGAGTGTTCTGCTGTGAGGAGCTGCATAATAAATTATAATTAATTACTCGAATATATTCTAATGTTTTAATGAATAAATTTGGATGCGAAACTAGCAGTATTCTTTTACCTATATATTGTGTTAGCAGTGCGTTGCTTTAGTACCATTTCATCTGTGATTGTTGTACAGCTTACAAGCAGTTGTGCTAATGCTAATGTTAGCATACATGTCAGATCGCAAATTGAGCTAGATGGCTCTGTGTTATGAGAGAGTAGGGCAAATGAGAAGCCATTGAGCGAGTTGGGGGGGGGCGGTGCTAAACATTCAAACCTTGCAGAAACGGGTATAGCGCCTTAAGACCAAGGCATCAGAACAAACCACAACAGCAGCGTGGACAAGGACCTACCACAAAAACACTGTACCACAAAGACCCTGCACTATAGAACTGTATTTACAAATATGGGCACAGACACAAAGGTTTTTGCAAACAAACTAGGCCAAGTGGCCCGGATCGTCGTCACAGGGGCCTGCGGTCACAGGGGTTTATTTTCTCATCCGTGCCAGACCAGCTGTGCTGTAGTATAACGCTCAGTCCAGCTGGTGGCGCTAATACCAACTTCAGCGACTACCTCGTTGTCAGAGTTAAGTTTCCGTTTCTCTTCCTGTTTACACACTGCTACTGTGCACCAACAGCTTGAGCATGGATTGCGTTCTTTGCCAATCAGAGTCAATGTGAACAAATGTGAGATATGTCTTTCCCCAATGTGCAGCAGCTTTGTGGAGTGCACCTTGGAGTAAAGAGCGTAAGCACTGCTAAATTAATGAATGAGAATGAAGAAATGGTCAATGAAGAATAAACGTGGCTGGGTCTTTCAGCATGACAATGATCTCAAACACACTGCCCGGGCAACAAAAGAGTGGCTTTGTAAGAAGCTTTCCAAGGTCCTGGAGTGGCCTAGCCAGTCTCCAGATCTCAACCCCATAGAAAATCTTTGGAGGGAGTTGAAAGTCTGTGTTGCCTAGCGACACCCCTAAAACATCACTCTTGCTCTAGAAGAGATCTGCATTGAGTAATGGGCCAAAATACCAGCAACAGGGTGTGAAAACATTTGAGCTCTGTCATTGCCAACAAAGGGTATGTAACAAAGTATTGAGATTAACTTTTGTTATTGACCAAATACTTATTGTCCACCATAATTTGCAAATAATTACAAAAACAAAATCTCATTCTGTCTCTCATAGTTGAGGTATACCTATGATGAAAATTGAAGTCGTCCCTCATCTTTTTAAGTGGGAGAACTTGCACAATTGTGGCTGACTAAATATTGTTTGCCCCACTGTATATACAGCATTTAGCATTTTGCTCTCAGATTGTCCATCTGTATACACAGTCTATCACAGAGCACACATCAAAACTATGTAGAAATAATGCAATAATGATTTAGAGCCCACAGAATAGACCTCAATGTGAGGGTTGTGGTTTGTGTTGCAGCTGCTGGGAGGAGTGATCCTAGGCTTTGGACTGTGGCTCCTGCTGGACAATCAGAGCTTCATCGTCGTCCTCAGTGAGTTCCTCATCATTGCAGGAGTCCCTTTACCCTTCCTACTTCTCCCCTCTCCTTTCCCTTCTCCTTCCCTTCTCTTCTCCTCTCTTCTCTCTCTCTTCCCTCCCCTCCCATGCTCTCCCCTCTCCTCTCTCCCCTCCTCTCTTCTTTCCTCTCCCCCATGTAAATTCCAGTATATGGTCCGAACAGACATTTCTAATATTTGTGTGGCTTTCCCCTGTGCTCTTAACTGCATCTACTGGCCGCATTCTGTTTCTACTGGCCGCATCCTGAGGTTCTTCACACCTCAGTCACAACAAAGGAGCTATGTAAAGCTCAATCCTCAAAACTGAACTGTCCTGAATTTCAACATCACAGCGGAAACTGACTCTGGAGGCTGATTTAGGTTATGTTCCGATGGAGACAAAGCAATTAACAAAAATGACCGGGCTCTTTATTCAAGTGCACGGCGTTTAGACGATGAAAAACGATGTAGTTCTAGCGCCCGGCCTGTAGTGGAATGTTACAATACCTTTGGCCCCAGCCCCCCCAGCATTACAACCTCTTCCTCCTCGGGCCAAAGAATGCACAAACGTAATTCTGCATTTAACAGTAGCTGCAAAAATGGACACTGAAACTAAAGCTTTGCATGGTTTTGTTTGGACGGACAAAAGAGTAGAATTCTCCGTGTAGCGCGCAATGCACACGTAGCATTACCCGCTGGCATTGTTGCGGGAAGTGGAGAGGTTATAGCAGGCATAAAATTCACACCTTTTTCTTCATGCGGCTGTAAAAGATCTCCTTGTTTAGCAGAATATCTGTTCTATTCCACTCTGGAGGCTGTTTCTCAACGCTTGCGTTTTCACCCCCTTGAAACACCGACCAAACCGATACCCAACTCTAAACATATGGCCTTTCCCCCCCCCCCCTCTCCCCTATTTTCTCTCTCCTCTTTGTGAATCTCAGACTGAGGTTGTTCACTAACAGTCTCAGTCTTGTTCCTCTGCAGATGTCTCCCCTCCCCTCTCCTCTCCTCTTTCTTGTTCCTCTGCAGATGTCTCCCCTCTCCACTCCTCTCCTCTTCTCCCCTCTCCTCCCCTCTCCTCTCATCCCCTCACCTCCCCTCTCCTCTCTCCTCTTTGTTGTTCCTCTGCAGATGTCACATAAGCCTCTGTCCTTTATCTGAACGCCTCTTCACACAACACTATCAACACTATATGTTAATCACTGTGTAGTTTTTGTCCCTTAAAGGGCCCATATCACAGTTTTTGACTTTTCTCTGCTTTAAACATGATTACAATGCTAATTGGCCTTCATACACAAGCCCACAGTAGTTTATTCATTGATTCTGTCAATCTTTTGTAAGAGAGCAATCTGTCTCCTTCCCCAGCGTGAGGCACAGAAACGCTCGGGTCCACTTCAGTGACGAAAACCACACTGATGCGCATGACCCCGTTTGCTTTGTATTTAAAATAGTTGTTAAATACTTTTGTCAAAACGGGGTAAACAATACACAATTAGTATGCTGTTTTTTGTCAAAAATAATAAAAATAAAAATAAATTAAAAGCCGGCGGGAGGTGATTGACGGATCAAAACAGCGAATCAGAGCGCACAGGCTCCGGCTCCCGAGTCCAGCGTCTGTGGTCTGGTCTCCGGACACCACATAGAGCTGCTGTTTTTATGCTTTTGTCAGCAACTAAAAGTGTTAGGATCACGTCAACTTGAATGAAATGTGTTATGGGTGTAAATATGTGACACACTATTTGGCCCTAAGAGGAAGAAAGCGGCTCGACTTTTTTCATCTGTTCATCTCGTGGATCTATTATAATACCGGTTCATCTGCGACACTTCACTGAGACTGTTCCAGAACTACAGGGACAATGGAACTGGACTTACTCAAAAGCTGATCTGAAAACACGTTATTCCCACGGTAAAAGACGTAACTCGGACCCCCTCGATCTGTAAGTAGTGACGCTAACTCGCTGTATACTTCTGTAAACTAAATAACTAGGGTCTGATTGTGCATCGAGGACATAGGGCTCGATGTGACGGATTGTCATTGTTTGAAAAAGTTTATTCTTATGTATGAAATTACTAAGTACAGGTGATAAACGACAAAAGCGTGATGCTACGTCACCGTGCGGGCGGGGGGAGGCGGGCTCACAGGCAGAGGAGCAGACTCTTCTCTGGATCAGCTCGTTTGAGTCGAGGTGACGTCACCTCTATACAAGAGATGGCTCTAATCTCACAAGCTTTGATTGTTGTGTGGTGTATCATACACATTAATATCACACATGTGTATAGGATTGAGTGTGAAACATGAAGAAAAGTGTGATATAGGACCTTTAAAGCTAGGGTACCTAACTTTTAAACCACAGACCCAAGAGCCTACTGTGAGGCCACATGAATACACTGGGCTGAAATGGAAGAACTATACTTTACTAACTTATGGCCGAGTTAACGAAGATATTACTGATTACTCCCTCTGGTGGCAGCATAGGGAGTTACAGGCTGACAGCATGTTCACCCATCACTTGTTTCACTTTATATTTTCTACAGAAGACATGATTTCACATTTAAACATGATAATTATGATAATGTCTTCTTTAACGTGTTTGTGCAGATGACTCCACGGCAGTGAAGGCAGCGTGCTACATCCTGATCTCCGTGGGCAGCTTCTCAATGCTGATGGGCTTTGTGGGATGTTTGGGAGCCATTTATGAAGTGCGCTGTCTGCTCGGCCTGGTCAGTGCTCCCCTTCTCCTCTCTCTCCTCTCCTGTCTTTGTGAGATCTGATTAATGCTTATGTGGGCAGGTACTTCATGTGTCTCCTGTTCTCTTCTCTCCACTCTTCTGTGTTTGTGAGATCTGATTAATGTTTTTGTTGGGCAGGTAGTTCATGTGCCTCGTGGTCTCCTCTCCTCTACCCTCTTCCCTCTCCCCTCTCTCCTCTCCTCTCCTCTCCCCTCCCCTCTCTTCTGTGTTTGTAAGGACTGATTGATGTTTATGTTATGCAGTACTTCACGTGCCTCCTGCTGATCCTCCTCGCTCAGGTTTCCGCCGGAGCGCTCGTCTACTTCCAGAAAGACGTGGTGAGTCACATTTCAGATGGTTACAGAACAAACACCCGATGCATGTTGTGATGGCCCGGCCGTTTTTTTTTTCAGTTTGATTTGTCACAACATTTTACTTTTGTGCACAACCATCATGAATTATTAATGCAATGGGAAAATTTAGGTACCCCAGATTTAATTTAGCAAGCTTAGTTGCGCTTTGGGAGCAGACACCGGGGAGACACGGACTGTTTCTTGCAGCGGTGTATTAATTGTGTGCACTCAAACATTTCTTAAGGGATTTACACACAAATATCCAGATGTCAGACGCATTTATTTTATAATATGATGAACATTGAGAAGAGGCGAACATGCTCCAATTATGCTTCACCTTATAATAAAGATGGTGAGAGGCTGCAGTCACATGCGCAGCCTAAAGCCCGGTTTAAGTGGGCCAGGGCCCACTTCGCGATTTGATCCGGGCTTTAGGTGCTATGTGACCGCGGCAAGTGAGCTTGGGTGCGATTGCTGCAATCGTGCTCTGGCTTGTTTGAAGACTTTGTAAAGCCCAGATGAGGGGGGTCTGTGTGGCGAGGAGTGGGGGATGAGGTGTGGTGGGGACTTGATATTGTGCGCCACTGTGTGTCTTCCGTTGTGACAGGCATTTTCACACACTTCTCTCCTGCACTTTTGCATTCTCAGCTTGTGTTAAACCTTTCATCTAAGCCACTGACCTTGGTCGATGGGCGCAGGGGGGTGTGTCGCTGCAAGGCCAAAGGGAAACGTTTCCTACGAGAATAACTCCCTCTGTTCTGACCCTCGCTCTCACAGTTATTGCAATAATACTTCAGACATTCAGGGATCAGTCTTTATTTAATCGCCAGAACACACCAACACACACTTGTCTCCGGTTGCTCTGCTCGTATGCCACATTTTTCATTCTTTCATTCACATTCATTCATTTCTCAGCGCTCTTACGCTCGTTACTAAAGAGTGTGTGTGTGTGGGTGTGCACTCGTGTGGGTGTGCACTCGTGTCCGCGGCGCGCACACACTCACACACACGTTACCCACTGAACTGCTGCACTTTGCATCAGAGCAATGTGGACAAGTGTGAGATGTGTCTTTCCCTAAACAACGCGACCCGAACTCGAGTTGTTAGCCACCGTAGCAGAGCGTAAACAGGAAGAGAAACGGAAACTCAACCAGGTCGTCGCTGGAGTTAGTATTAGCGCCACCAGCTGGACTGAGTGTTGTACTACAGCTTAGTTCATGCGACCGCGGGCCGTTTTCACACCCCTGTGGCAAAGATTCGGGCCACTTGGCCCAGTTTGCTTGTAAAAACCTATGTAACCGTGCACAGAGTCTCTTTCTGGTCTCTCTTTGATTTCTCCCTGGTCTCTCTCTGGTCTCTCTCTCTGATCTCTCTCCCTGGTCTCTCTCTGGTCTCTCTCCAGTACGTCATCACAGCATAAAGAATGCTCCTTTCTGTCACAACACGCCTTTGTTCGACTCAAACACCTCAGTGTGAAGTTCTATGCTGTAATTTCTTGACACACTCAACACAGACCAACACACATACACCAGAGAGCGAGAGCGACCAGAGAGCGAGAGAGACCTGAGAGCGAGAGAGACCTGAGAGCAACCAGAGAGCGAGAGACCACAGAGAGACAGACCAGAGAGAAAAACCAGAGGTTGTATCACATCACTAGTTTTCATATCATGTATTTTTGGCTTCTGTCACATCTTGATTTTGATTTTCAAACAGAAAATTGAAAAAAAAAGGACCACCATCACTCAGCGAACAAGTGAGGGTGGTCTCCAGTATATAGCTCTCAGTATATAAAAAATCTATCCGTGTGTCCCACTAAAAGTCTTGAAGTAAAACTTTTTGCGTCCGTGTCCGGTAACAAGGATAACAGTCTGCATGTTGGGGCCAGATGTTTTTCTGTTAGAACAAACTGTATGTATGGTCAAACAATTTGTGATTGTTTTTCTGTTTGCAGTTGGATGAGGAGATGTCCAAGATCGTTACTAAAGTCCTGGACAGTTACCCTGGCAACAACACCACGACGGAGCAGGCCTGGGACTTCATCCAGAGGAACGTAAGTAAAGTTCACTTCAGCTCAGATCCAGCGTCTGGAGAGCCGTTGTGCCATAGAATTGACCATAATTCTGAAGAGGTTGTGTTCATGTGATATCACAGCACTCCAAAGTTCAATGCTTGTAATGGAGGCTGCTGAGGAGCCAACACAGGTTTATGTAGAGTCACAAACAGCAGCTGTGGGTTTCTGAGTGGTTTCTTGCCAATGCAGGAGGGTCTAAGGGACATTTATGCACATTTACCGTATTTTTTGGACTATAAGCTGTGGCTTTTTTCTGCATTTTGAAGGCTGTGGCTTATGGTATGGACTTGGATCAACTTTTATCCCTCATAACAGTGGAGATGAACAGATTAAAGAGGTGCTTTAATAATAACAAATTGTCAATCAACTTAAAAAAGACTAAAATAGCAACGATAGTTGCTACGGTACTTAACAACTATCGTCCCATCTCAAATCTGCCATTTATGGGGAAAGTCCTTGAAAAAGTTGTCTACCTACAGCTTACTAGATTTCTTATAATCAACAACTCATTTGATATGTTTCAGTCCGGCTTTAAACCCCACCACAGCACTGAGACTGCCCTCGTCAAGGTTACAAACGATATCCGGCTGAACACTGACGCAGGCCAAGTCTCAATCTTAATCTTGTTAGATCTAAGTGCTGCCTTTGACACCGTCGCCCATGAGATCCTCTTACAGAGACTAGAGGACTGAGTTGGCGTCGCTGGCACCGCCCTAAGTTGGTTTAGGTCTTACCTTGAAGACAGGGAGTACTTTGTGGAGATTGGAAACTGTGTCTCAGATCATATGGCCCTGACCTGTGGAGTACCACAGGGGTCGATCCTGGGACCTCTTCTTCTTTCTTTTTAATGTTCTGTGATTATTTATGATTTTTATGCTTTCTTCTTTTGTTCAGCACTTTGAGTTGCCTTGTGTATGAATTGTGCTATACAAATAAACTTGCCTTGCCTAAAATTATGCTTTTCAGTAATTGTATAATAGTAAAATACTAGTCAGAATAATACTTGATGATACACCTATTGAGAGAGTTAAACAAAAGGTATCTTTGGAAGTTATAATAGACGACAAAATTATATAGAAACCTCACATTAGTTACTTGCAGACAAAAGTTGCAAAATGTGTGGGAATGATGAAGAGATCAAGTCCGTTAATTAATACCAATGCTCTTCTGTTATTATATCATTAATTCATAATGTCATATCTAAATTACTGGGTTCAAGTCTCATTCGCAGCCTTTATTCATTATACCAAAAAAAGCCATAAGGATTGTGTCCACTACAGACATCCTTCATACCCACTGTTCATAGAAACTGAACAACTTAAACTGCATGATTTGGTTAGCCTTAAAACTGGTCAGATAATGTTCAGGGCATCTGAAAACTCCCTGCCAGCCAACTTACAAACCCTATTTCATGATAGAGACGCTCATCACAGGTATAACAAACAATTATATGTCCCTAAAGTAAGAACAACATTAAAATCTATGTGAATCTCTATCAGAAGAGTGAAGGTCTGGAATGATTTAACAGAAGCATTAAAATCATTCTCCAACATGACTTTATTTTACAAAACATTCAAAAAAGAAATACTACAGAAATACGCAAAAGGAGCGTGATTCCCTGAGCAGTACTGTAGCTGAGCATTGAGGGAGTGGTGTGTGTTCAGAGAATGTTTGGGGCCAGAGTATGAGTGAGTGACTGAGTCTTGTCTTGTCCTGTCTTGTCCCAGTGTTGTATTGCTATAGTATTGTATTGTTATGTGTTTCACTTTACTTTACTGGTGTGGGTAGTTTAAGGGGATAAAGATTTGTGTTGTGGAGATTGTGTGAGAGAGGGGGATTAAAGCGGATTAAATAAAGTCCTCACTTATGATATCTTTGTAAATACAGTATCTCATAATAGCTTTTTGGGTCTTTGTATAGAAATGAAAGTGAAAAGAGACCAGTAGATGTTGCTCCATATATTTTTGCTTCACACTGGAGGATTAAGAACTGTCAGTGACTCACTTCTTACTCCAACTCTTATTACTAAGTTGGAGTACTAAAAAAAGGACGTGATGAAAGTTTTTGAAATACTGAAGAAGATGACAAAGTCTGGGATCGCGTCTTTAATTCAGACAGAAGACATGTTTTATTGTCGATGGTAGAGACAGCACGAACAACACGAACACAGAATGCAAGTGTATTATACAGAGCGGAGGCATGGAGACCTCCAATCAGCAGCTTCCACGGTGCCAGCAGAGATAGTCAAAACATGAAGTGGAAAAGTACAGGCTTCTGCACATTGATAGAATGATGAGTTTAACCTTAACAAAAGTTGCTTAAGTGTTATGAAATCTCACAATACTGTACATTTTTCAACATTACAATGTGGGATAAGTGCGGCTTATGATCCAGTACAGCTTGTACAAGTACAACATTCAAATTCTTTCTAATTGGAGCCTGTGGCTTTTAGTCCGGAAAATACTGTCCTGAAATGTCATTCCGCTCCCTATTGACAAATGGGTCCTATTTGTTTATTGTTATTGCATTTACTGTGTTCAAATGATTTGATTCTCTCATCTGTTGAGTTTGTGAAAATATCTCGATTTGAGTTGTTGACATTAAATATTTGTCTATAGTCTCTCTCTGGTCTCTCTTTGGACTCTCTCTGACCAGTATTCTTGTGTGTTTGCAGATGCAGTGCTGTGGTTGGTCTGGGCGTCTGGACTGGAGCGGGAACATGGTGATCATCAACAGTTCTCAGCTGCTGTTCCCCTGCTCCTGTCAAAACGTCACCTATTCCCCCAACACCTCCTCTGACTCAGGCTTCTGCGAGAGCAGCTCCACGGACTGGCCAGTGTATGAAACGGTGAGTGTGTGTGCTCGCGTGTCGTGTCTGTGTGTCTGTATGTAACTTCTATCCTCTTCTCAGGGCTGCTCAGCTGGGGTGGAGTCCTGGCTCAGGACAAACGTGTGGGTCATTCTGGGCGTGTGCCTCGGAGTTGCCTTCATTGAGGTGAAACAATTAAAAACCACTGATCCGTTTGCATGTATCGTTAACTCGTGTTCATTATCATTTAGAATAAAGGATCTCAATCTTAATTTTTACAATGGATACCTCATTGTATTCTGGCTTTTTCCAATATCTGGGAGTTTATCTTCAGGTTGATCACAAATTGTAAAGTATGTAAAGGCAACTTTATTTTATGCAAAAACCAACCTTATTACTGTATGTGGGGACCAATGACAGGAAAGGGGCGGGCCTGTGGTGGGTGTGATGGTGGGGTGAAACACACAGACTCAGGGTTGTATACATCTGTGCGTTCCTCGCCACTTGTGGTTGTATTTGTTGTTATCATTCTCTAGTAACTAAACTAATGCAGCCAGCGTGTTCGCCGGTGCGGAAGTACCGTTTAATAACAAAATAAACTTATTGCACACCTCTGTGAACATATACAGCTGTTATATAAAGTCTCTGGAAGGTCTCTCGACGCTGAGACACTGCAGAGATGCATTCTTGGAGAAGAAATTTACACAAAAAGCAGCTAGCTTAACTCTGTTAGCATCAAAACCGGCCTGCTACTTCTGCCACTTCCGGCGGACTTCTGGTTTGAACACCCCTAGCGTCTGAACTCCACGTAAAATATGATTTTGTGCTTTTGCAGCTGCTCGGGATGATGCTGTCCATCTGCCTCTGCAAGAGAGTAGGGGTCGAGGACTACACCAAAGTGCCCAAGTACTGAGACCAGGGGAGAGAATAAACCCACATGTCCCATGTAAAATATGTGTATGTATTTTCTCCCTACTTTGTTGGATCAGTTGGGACTGAGGACCAAAGCTGAAAGTGTCATGGGGCCAGACACAAGATACTGATCACTGTTCGGAGGAAACATAGAAATTTAAAAAGACTTAGGAGAAACATTCCTCCGTATTCAGTAGTTTTCTAGTCCTCTTAATAACTCAAGTACAGCTGGTCTCTTCCAATGACGAGATGAAGTAAAGACAATATTACAATATTTTAGTCATTTCCAATCTATATAGATAGATATATGGCTATGTTAAACTTATGTTTGGGATAAAGTTCTCTACGGTGTCTGCAGTGGCCCCATCGTACTGATGGAGATGTGTGTTATATTAATGTGTGACATAAACTGGGAACTATTTGTATTTTAACTTTTGTAAAAGGTTGCAGTCAAAAGATTTTAGAATTTTGTACATAATTTTAGCAGATATTTTATCCGGTTTGTAATGTACCAAAACTTGTGCATAACCACTCTCTCCTTTTATTGACATAGTTTGAAATATGCACTAAAACAAGTGTGTGTGCATGTGTGTGTGTTCTTTGTGTTTTTTTTTTTTTTTCAAATAGTAAAAGCTGGATTTTATGAGTGTACTCACATGTTTTAATAAAGTGATCTTTTTGAGAACATGGTTTGTGCTTTGTTGTAAAAGTGTTTGTCGGTTGGAGAAACTGCAGAAGTAGAGACATGGTCATGCTACTCTTCCTACTCTTTCTGTCTGCATTATTAAGATTTTGACTGTAGTGTGTTCATTGCTATTCACCCGTTGTCCCATTGTCTGTTTCATGGCGCGACAACGGGACCTCTGAACCTGGCCTCCTCCATCTACATCTGCGGACTGCCCTGCCCGACCCGCCTGGGAGCGCTTCAGTCCTGCACCGGACCTGTCCACGCTCTGAGGCCGCTGCGTGGCATTGGTCCTTGTTCTGTAGCTTAGGTCCCGGAGCATTAGCCCGTCCGTCCGTGTGGAGGGGATCCCTTTCTCAATATGTGGGTTTCCCCGAGGTTTCTCACTTTTTTTTTTTCACTGGGTTTTTGTGAGTTTTTCCTTGCCGATGCAGGAGGGTCTGTTGGGCAGTTAGTCTCCAACTAGAAGGACTGTGGTGATTATCCAGGACACTTTAACATTCTACAACATGTATGGACATTTATCAACATTCATGGACATTAAAGTGTCGCCGTGCAACTGAGTAGTTTCTCATGGTTTTATCTGACTGTTTTATTTTATTATCCAGGGTCAGTGAGTTAGAGCTGCGTCTCCGAGCACTGGAGTCTCGAGCTAGCGCTAGCATTAGCTATAGCCAGGCCGTATCCTCAGGGACAGCGGAGCGCAGCTTTGTTAAGGAAGAACTAGGAGGAGAACTAGCGAGCCTAGCCTCCCAGCCCGTCCTCCCCAGCTGGGACAAGACCAGGATAGTGATGGCTTTGTGACTGTTCGGAGAGGGCGACGTGTTGTTGGTAGTTTCCCCATTAGGCCTCCTCCTGTTAGCATTTACAATCGCTGGGACGCTATGTGGCGCGGCCGGGCGGGGAAGAAGGCCCTGCTGAGAGAGCCGATGGAGTCGCTGATGCGCTGGTAATTGGCTCCTCTATTGTTAGAGGTGTTAAGATCCCAGGAGCCACTGTTCGGTGCTTCCCTGGGGCCAGGCTTGGTGATATTGAAGGGAATCTGAGGCTCATGATGACCCACAAGCAGCGTTTCCGTCGAATTGTTATTCACGCGGGTGGTAATGACGTTCGGCGGAAACAGTCCGAGGTGTTGAAGCTGCAAGTCGCTGCGGTGTGCAAGCTGGCTAGCACAATGGCCGACACTGTCGTCTTCTCTGGGCCCCTACCTAGCACTAGCAGTGCAGAAGCATTCAGCAGACACTCTGCTTTCAACCGCTGGCTGTCTGGCTGGTGCCCTTGAAGTGGTGTTGTTCATGTTGACAATTGGAGTGCCTTTTGGGGAAAGCCCGGTCTCATCCGCTCACATGATATCCACCCAACGTTGGCGGGTACATCCCTTTTGGCTAAGAATTTGGCCTTGGCTCTAAATTGTTCTGCCCGGCTCAAATGACGGTGCAGAACTGAGGCCCGGGTGAAGAGCTGCTCTGCCACAACCTCTGAGCCAGTTACTAGCCTCAGAAGCTTGTGTGTGTGTGTGACAAAGCAGGCCACTTCGTCCCATATTTTTCCTATTTTGACAGCTTATTTCATTTGTTCACATTCATTTGCTTTACTATGTTATCTGCTATGAGATAGTTTCTTTAACACTCACCTTTTTGAGTTGCAGCTATACTCACCTCACCACATGGTCCATGCAAAGAGGAGGCGTGCCCTTCATCGGCCATTTTTGTAGGCTGTGGAAGGGGAGGGGTGGGTGTGTGTGTGTGTGTGTGTGTGTGTGTGTGAGTGAGAGTGAGAGTCAGTCAGTCAGTCACTTAATAAAGTTCAGACAGAAATAGTTCTAAAAGTAGGGTTGTGAAATGTGGATTAAGGAACGTCAGATCAATCTCGTCTAAATCGCCTCTCATAAACGAACTTATTATAGACAAAAACTTGGATTTGTTTGCGCTCTCGGAGACTTTGCTCCAACAAGACGACTACATCAGATTGAATGAGTGCACTCCTCCGACGCATGTTAACTACCAGAAAGCGAGAACTACAGGTCGCGGTGGCGCGATTATATCACACACCAACTTACTTCTTAGTCCCAAAACCAACAATGCTTTTCACTTGTTTGAAAACTTATCACTTTCAACCACCTGTCCTGGGTGGAGAAAACAAAAAGCGGTGTTATTTATAGTTTTATACCGACCTCCTGGTCCTTACAGCGAGTTCCTAACAGAATTCTCTGCCTTCGTTTCAAACCTAGTTTTGGAATGGGAAAACATAGTTATACAGTGCCTTGCGAAAGTATTTGGCCCCCTTGAACCTTTCAACATTTTGCCACATTTCAGGCTTCAAACATAAAGATATAAAAATTAAATTTTTTGTCAAGAATCAACAACAAGTGGGACACAATCGTGAAGTGGAACAAAATTTATTGGATAATATAAACTTTTTTAACAAAAAAAATAAAGTGGGGCGTGCAATATTATTCGGCCCCCTTGCGCTAATACTTTGTAGCGCCACCTTTTGCTGCAATTACAGCTGCAAGTCGCTTGGGGTATGTCTATCAGTTTTGCACATCGAGAGACTAGAATTCTTGCCCATTCTTCCTTGCAAAAAAGCTCGAGCTCAGTGAGGTTGGATGGAGAGCGTTTGTGAACAGCAGTCTTCAGCTCTTTCCACAGATTCTCGATTGGATTCAGGTCTGGACTTTGACTTGGCCATTCTAACACCTGGATACGTCTATTTGTGAACCATTCCATTGTAGATTTGGCTTTATGTTTTGGATCATTGTCCTGTTGGAAGATAAATCTCCGTCCCAGTCTCGGGTCTTTTGCAGACTCCAACAGGTTTTCTTCCAGAATGGTCCTGTATTTGGCTCCATCCATCTTCCCATCAATTTTAGCCATCTTCCCTGTCCCTGCTGAAGAAAAGCAGGCCCAAACCATGATGCTGCCACCACCATGTTTGACAGTGGGGATGGTGTGTTCAGGGTGATGAGCTGTACACAACTCATCACAATGCAAAACATATCGTTTTGCATTGTGGCCAAAAAGTTCGATTTTGGTTTCATCTGACCAGAGCACCTTCTTCCACATGTTTGGTGTGTCTCCCAGGTGGCTTGTGGCAAACTTTAAACGAGACTTTTTATGGATATCTTTGAGAAATGGCTTTCTTCTTGCCACTCTTCCATAAAGGCTAGATTTGTGCAGTGCACGACTGATTGTTGTCCTATGGACAGACTCTCCCACCTCAGCTGTAGTTATCTGCAGTTCATTCATTGTGATCATGGGCCTCTTGGCTGCATCTTTGATCAGTCTTCTCCTTGTTTAAGATGAAAGTTTGGAGGGACGGCCGGGTCTTGGTAGATTTGCAGTGGTCTGATACTCCTTCCATTTCAATATAATTGCTTGCATAGTGCTCCTTGAGATGTTTAAAGCTTGGGAAATCTTTTTGTATCCAAATCCGGCTTTAAACTTCTCGACAACAGTATCTCGGACCTGCCTGTTGTGTTCCTTTGTCTTCATGGTTCTCTCTGCGCATTAAACAGAACCCTGAGACTATCAAAGAGCAGGTGCATTTATACGGAGACTTGATTACACACAGGTGCATTCTATTTATCATCATCAGTCATTTAGGACAACCTTGGATTATTCAAAGATCCTCACTGAACTTCTGGAGTGAGTTTGCTGCACTGAAAGGAAAGGGGCCGAATAATATTGCATGCCCCACTTTTCAGTTTTTTATTTGTCAAAAAAGTTTAAATTATCCAATAAATTTCGTTCCACTTCACGATTGTGTCCCACTTGTTGTTGATTCATGACAAAAAATAATGTTTTTATATCTTTATGTTTGAAGCCTGAAATGTGGCGAAATGTTGAAAGGTTCAAGGGAGCAGAATACTTTCGCAAGGCACTGTAACTGGAGACTTCAATATACATGTGGACGACAGAACAGACAGCTTAAACAAAGCTTTCAGCGCCGTACTAGATGGTGTTTGTTTTACTCAGAATGTTGAGGAACCTACTCACATTCATAACCACACTTTGGACCTTGTCCTGACCTACGGTTGGGATGTCTCCAATGTTGACGTCCAGCGTCAAAGCTTGTTGCTGTCTGATCATTTCTTGATCACGTTTGATCTCGATTTGGTAAACTTTCCTGCAAGATAAAACCATAAAATGGTTTTATCTTGCGGCGCAGGAAAATCATTAAATGATAGATTTATCATTAAATGATAAATTAAATGATAAATCTATCACAAGGTTCAAAGAACCAATACAGCCAATGTTGAATACTGCTGCAGGTGAACCTGTTCACAGCTGCTGCAGTCCCTCAGTCATTGACCA